TCTGGCTTTAGGAGCTTATTGATATCTGTATAATAACCAAATTAATTCTGACTCCTGTTGAAGCAATATTCATGTAAAATAATTGCCTACTGAAGAGAAACAATATTATTCAGGGGATGATCACCCAATCTGTGAATTGATATTTAGCAATAAAACCTTCCCAAAAATAATATTTTGAATTCACAGAAAGGGAATCTGAAAGGATTTCATAGTTAAAAGATGAGTGATTGCCCAGATTTTTGGCAAATTCTATGTTGGAATTAACAAATAAATTGCAGTTATGGATTTTTGGATTATTTTTTATGTGCAATGTATTTAGAATAATTACCACTACTTTCCATCCTATATCTTTTTAACTGTATGATAAGGTTGAAAGCACTGAATTCTTTGTTTGGCAACAGAGTTTTGCACATTTAAGTTTTTAAAAATTAATTTAAAAACCCCTAAAGTTTGTATAGCAATTTCACTTTATAATTACCTTACCAGATAGATAATAATATGGTTTCTTTTTTCATATGAGAAAACTAAGTTAGGAGAGCGTAGTGATATGCCCAGGTTCACCCAGCTGCTAAGAATTCTACCTGGTCCTTCCAAATTTCTCATACTGTCCTCAGTTCTGAGTGTCTGATATGTATTCCTTTGATTGTGTATTATTGCCTCAAGTCAGGAATGTTGTCTGGAAATAGGTATTCAAACTGTTTATTTAATGACTGAAAGAACAGGAAAGAATTTTTACATATTTTTTTCCGTTTCATTCATTTTCATACTTTTTATCAAAAGCACCTTCCTATCATAAATAGTGGCCTACCTATATAGACAGAAAATGAAGTTCAGAGAGGTTAATTAAGAGCCTAGAGTCATTTAAGTGATTTACTAGCAGAACAAGGAAAACTGAGCTCCAATTCAATCTTTTCTGAGTCCTTCTTTGCCTTTCTCAGTATAAAATGTCAGTCTCTTTCCAGCTTGTTCTGTGCATGGAACTTCCTGGTCATAAATGTATTTTTTTTTTTTTTGGTATGCCTACATACACATTTATGTGTCTGCCTCAAGCACATTTAGTGGAAGAACATGACACATTATATAAAAAACACAGCATCTGTCGATGAGTATTTCCCTTTTGAATCTCCACATCTCAATCTAATTGGATGTCAATGACAACGATTGTTTAGTGATTAAATTTCAGGCAAACAATTCCATTTTAAACATTGCTCATATTTAAAAAATTGACTTGGAAAAAAAGTCAGAAAGTACAAATTTTTAAAAATAAAGTTAAGCAATTTCATTGATTGATTATAGTTATTGGTCATATACATTTAAGTGAAAGATATTATTTGGCTTTTCATAAAAACAGGAAAAAGTGATATATAAGCATTCTTAATTAAAAAAATAGGCAGCAGTTTGAGCACAGCACTGTGAAGATGTCCGCAGCTTCTGCAGCATGGGTTCGATTCCTGGTCGGCCAGGGAGATACCCACATGGTGCGGCAGACATCTTCTGCCTCGCCCGCTGCTACCCTTAGCAGTGTCTTCAGTCCATCTGTCTGTTCTTCTCCCTACTCTGTCTCTGGTGAATACTCTCACCCACACCTCTGGCCTATACACCAGTTCTCATATAAATAAAAATAAACCTTTTTTTTAAATTTTTTTTAGATTTATTTTTTATTTATAAAAGAGCTGGGGTACAGTCCAGATGCGTGGGAGGGTGAGAGGATTCAAGAGACAGAGTGGGTAACAGAACAGGCAGACTGACGAAATACACTACTCTGGGGAGCAGTGGGCTAGGCAGGAGAGGTCGGCTCACCATGTGGGTTGCTCTGAGGCCGGTGGGGATCGAACTGTCACTGCAGAGGCTGCTAACAGCTTCACAGCGCTGTGCTCAACCACCTGCGCCACAGGGGAGGACCAAACCTTTTTTTTTTTTTTAAGAAAACATTAAAAAAAAAAAAGAGGGCCTCCCCGATGGCACAGTGGGTTGAGTTCCACGCTGTAAAGCTGTCTGCAGCCTCTGCAGCACATGTTCAATTCCTGGCCAGCCAGGAAGAAACCCACATGGCGCGGCAGACCTCTCTTGCCTCACCCGCTGCTCCCCTCAGTAGTGTCTTCAGTCAGTCTGCCTGTCCTGCTCTCTGCTCTGTCTCTGGTGAATTCTTTCACCCTCCCATGCCCCTGACTGTACCCCAGTTCTTGTATAAATAAATAAATCTTTAAAAAAATAATAAAATGATAAAAAAATAAATGAAAAAGAACCAGGGTGTAGGCCAGAGGTGTGGGAGGGTGAGATGATTCACCAGAGACAGAGCAGGGAACAGAGCAGGGAACAGAACAGGCAGATCGACTGAAATACACTGCTGAGGGGAGCAGCAGGAGAGACAGGAGAGGTCTGCCTCACCTTGTGGGTATCTCACCAGCCTGCCTGGATCCAACCCATACTGCAGAGGTTGTGGACAGCTTCACAGCACTGGGCTCAACTGCCTGCACCACAAGGGAGGCCCTCATTCACTTTCATTTTAATTTAACTGAACTTCTGTTACAAATGGTATCCTAGATGAGGAATTTGCATTCTTATTAGAGAATGGTGATTTCACTTTCTACCTTGAAGTGAATCCAATGCAGAATCGAGTCAACACAATAACATAGTACTTTTATAACTTCAATATCATAATATTTGGCTTTTGCTTTATATCACACACTTTCCCAGCTGGTGGGCAACTTCTGTTTAGCTATGTGTATTATATTAGTAATGAGGAAAAGAGATATCATACATGTTGTGAAACTAATGAGACCAACATTCTGGTGTAATTTTAGGATACAATAATGCATCTGTTTGAAGGTTTTTGACTTGTTTTCTTGTAAGTCCTGTACTCCAGGCACAACGGTATGTATAATTATCTAAATCTAGCAGGGGCTTGGAAGTAGCAGTGGAATATAGTGCAAAGTGTGTAGTCAGCAAGGAAAAAAGACTCAGGAAGTAATGATGAAGAAAGTAGATACCAAGACATGAGTCAAATCAGATGATGCAAACAGGAGTCCACACTGCCAAGACAAGTCAAAGGAGCAGATGACAAAGCAGCAAAACTATCTGGAGATTCAAGTCCCTGTCCTTGGAGTCAAACAAGATTTAAAAGAAGAAAGTTTCCTATATTAGTTTTAGGAATCCACTAATCTCATGGGAGTTAATTCTCTAATACAGAGCTTCTAAAATTTAAAATGCCTATTAATCCCATGGAGAACTTTTAAAATACAGAAACAAATCAGAAAGAGAAGGGCAAATGAAAGATGGTTTCACTTATATGTGAAACAAAAAGAAAAAAACAAAGGAACATACAAAACTGAACTGAAACAAACACTAGAAATTTGACTGTGCAATTGAGACTGCTAGACTGGGTGAGAGATAACAAAGGGTGGAGGAACCCAGTGGTGTCTGGTGGGGATGATGGTGCTTGGGCAGTGGGTGTGGTGTGGGTAACATACCTCTAAAGAGGTATGAGCCTATACATCTAAATCATATACAGTGTCATAAGCCAAATCTTCCTCAATTTAAAAATAATGCAGGGCATCCCTGGTGGCACAAGGGATTAAGACACAACCTATGAAACTATCCACAGCCACTGCAGCATGAGTTTGATCCCCAGCTGGCCAGGGAGCTACTCACATGGCACAGCAGACCTCTCCTGACTTGTCCACTGCTCCCCTCAGCAGTGTATTTCAGTTAATCTGCCTGTTCTGTTCCTCACTCTGTCTCTGATGAATCCTCTCACCCCCCACACCTCTGGCCTGTACCCCAGCTCTTGTATGCATAAATAAATAAATCTTTAAAAAATATATAAATAATGCATATTTAAAAAAATTAAAAATATACGATAAAAATAGACAAAGACTTTTTTTAAATAAATACAATAAAATGGGATCCAAGAGGTCTGAAATGAGGCCTAAGAATATCCATTTTTTACATGCTTCTAGATGATACTGATGTTGCTCATACAGGCCCCTGTATTGTACAAGAAAATATAAAACCAGCCCAGGTATAGGCAAAGTAGACAAGAGGAATGTTGACTGGAGTGGAGAATATTGAGTTCGGAAGCAAATGTAGTTCCTAACAAAGGCAGAACCTGCAAGTTTAATGTATTTCAGATGCAAAATAAAACTTGGTTGATGGTGGCTTGTTGAATTGTCCACTTGAAAGATATTATTAAAGTCCTAACTCCCAGTGCCTCAAAATGTGATTGACCTTTGGAGGGTATTCAAGTTAAAATGTGGTCATTTGTCCATGATCTAATTCAATATGAAAGTTATACACATTAATATTTGGACACAGATGCAGGGACACACAGAAGAAGGATCTGCAGACACACAGGGAAAAAGATAACTGTGTATAGATATAAGTGAGTGAACACAAAGAAGTGCAGGCTAACACTAGAAGTTAGAAGAGGTCAGGAAGGAATCTTCCCTAGAACTATCAGGGGGTATGGCACTGGCAACACCTTGACTTCAAACTTGTATGCTCCAGAACTATGAGACCATACATTTATTTTGCTCTAAACCATACACTTTTGTACTTGTTAAATTTGTACTTGGCCACATTTTGAATAAACATTTAGCAAATGACAGCTAGACCTTTTGGAAAGATTTACTTCATTGTCCAAGGTATATAACTACGTAATAGAAAGAAATACCTGCCTTTGCCAATCAGTGCCTTTCTACTTCAGCAGGCTGCTTTCCAAGCACAGACAATGTACTGATCAATAAAGCAACACTTTCCAAACCTGAATTCTAAGATATTTTTCAAGTTTTGTTAAATGGTGCTGCACAGGGTTCATGGTTAACGAAATTTTAAAGCACGTCAAATACAGATGCATGTAAAAAAAGAGCTAGATTGAAAACTAGGGGAAAAACCCAAAACTATTGGAAAATTTACAGAACCTATTAAAGGTGCTGAATAAACAGATCCTTACTTTTTATAGCATAACACTTTCCCACCATATTCCTCTTATTACTCTACAGAATACCACTTTAGGAGAAGCTAGATGAAAGAATAAAATTCCCTGCAACTGAGAAAATTTATACCAACAAAACAGGTACTTTAAAATTTAAATGCATTTTATTTTAAACTATCCTGGAGACTCCCTGAGTTGTTTTTTGTTGTTTCTCTAAGGCAGGAAAGATAATGCCTTCTGGGATGAATTTAAGGAATGGATGTAAAGGTCTATCACAAATGTGAAGTAAGAGATCAGACAGAGTGACATCAGGTGAAATGGAACTGAGCAAAACTGATGGAGTTTGCAAAGAAAAATGAGAAAAGGGAAATCAAATATTTAAGGTCTATCTATGTGGTTACAGTCTGCCTTCGGAATAATCTCAATGAACAAAAAGATCTTTGATATTTACTGTACTTGGTATGTATGCAATGTATGACACAATTTCAGTGTTATCTTCCACATCTGGTACACCTTCTAGGGTTACTATGGATATTTGGGCAGGTACAATAATACAATCAAAGGGTGCCATTCACATTATGGATGCTATAATGAATGAGTAGGACAATTTTGGCAGCAAATTTTCAACAAAATGGGTAGTATATTACAACAATTGCAAACAAATGGTAGTAAACTGTCCTGAGGAAAGGGGGTATTTTTCTAAGCCACCAGTGTATTACACCAGTTAACAACAGTCCTGGGATTTTTATACTACCTGTAAAAATGGGGACCACATTTTAACCAGGAAAATTGTCTGAGACCACAATCTAACACTAGAATGACATAGTAAAACACCATTGCTCCTACTAGCATAATTTCAATTGGTATGGAAACCTGGGCCATGAGCTCCCACCCTTGCCCTGTGGGACCTGAGTTTAACTAATGAAAAATAAGTTATTAAAAATGCTTATTCTAGGTCTATTAATAAGAATTGCCTTACTAGAAAATAGAAGCATCTAATACATATGTTTGAGTTTTAAATGCCATTTTCATATCCAAGGTTATAACTTTTTGAAAGTTTAACAGCAAGAATTTTAAAGACATAAACCATGTTAGGTGTTCGAAGGAGAAAAATTAAAGTCAAGCTAGTGCATTCCAAACATTATTTTATCTGTTAGAGGTGGCAGGAACAAATAGGCATAATTTCATGTTGTGGATGTTACAATCTATTGGGAAAGACAGACTACACACACGATCACACAAATAGCGATATAACTACAACTCTAGATAAAGATATAAATAAAAACTACCAAAACCCCCAAACTATTCGGAAAGCTTAAGTGGTAAATTTCTAAAGTGCTTTAAGAGCTTATAATAAAGGATTCCAGTAAAGACCAGGGAGTCTCAAAAGCTATTCCTAAAGGATGCATCTTTGAGCTGAGATGTGAAGAGTAAGAATAAGTTAAATAAGAAAGGCACAAGGAAAGGTCTCTGGTATTGGAGATATGTTTGATGCCCTCAGGCAGAAAAGAGCTCAGGATATCCAAGAAACATAAGTCAGAGTGTCCATAGCTATGTGGCTAGAGGAGTTAAAGGGGGTCATGTGAATGACATTATGCAAATCCCTTGAGGTTAGGCTAAACATGTTAGCTTCTTTCATGGGAACAGAAGAAAACCTTAGAAGTATTTTAGGCAGGGAAGAGATACCATATTTTTAAAAGACTGGTTTGACTATTTTGTGTAGAAAGGTTCAAAAATTGCTAAGAATAGAGCAGAGAGACCAGTTGGCAATTGTATTTGGTCAAGTGGTAGATGATAGCTTCGTCATGAATGATGCCAGGAGGTGGAAAGAGGTGAGCAGGGTGGAGATATTATAGGAAATATCAATAGGAAATTAAATTATTTTAAAATGACTTATTTGTGATAATGAAACCCCATGAGTGAAAATGAGATAATCCAAATGTGTTCATTTATGCAATGTTGTAATTATAATGGTCCAATGTTTTGTTTCTATGATGTATGGAAGTTTACTAAGCATTTTCTCAATGATAAAAAGTGTCTGAATGATGAAAAGACTAGAATTTTATTTTCTTATTGGCCAAAGGAACTGCACTGGGTAGGACAGTTCCCTCTGTACCAATTTCCAATGGGTGTACTCTAACGTGGACCCCAATGATGGTGAAATGGATAGGCTAGAACACTATAAGAGGTGTTTATTAATAGAACTGAGGTATGGCCTGCCTAAGCAAGAGTAAGATACTGGAGCTTAAGCAAAATACCAATGAGAATAAGTGTGAGTTTCTTGAATGTATTATCAAACTAATAGTATTATACAGACTTGATTCCAGGTGTTCCAGAATATTCTCAGATGATTAACATGACATCCACTGGGCAGAGTACTCAGTATATAAGGAGGAATTAGCCAAGGTAGAAGGTGCTAGAGTGATGAGTTCTTTCCAATTGATGAATATAATCTTCAGAAGTCTAGGGCTACAACCATTTTTGTAGAGATAGAAGACAGGACGGGATTTAGGAGGAAAAGAGAATGGACAAAGGAAGAAAATATAGGAATTGAAACTTTAAAAAAGTGAAATGAGGAAAATTGATGTTGGCATGACACATGTCCCAGATCAGATACAAGAAAAGGGAACAGGAACAAAAAAGCAGGAAGAAAAGAAAGGAAGCCAATGACAGCCCAGAATGAGGATTCAGACACCGGTCACAGAAGAGAATGCAGGCAGAGCAGAAGGAATGAAGAAGCAAGGAGTAAGGAAAGGAGACATGGTAGGCCAAATGGGGCTCAGATGAAGAATAAGGGCCTCAGGAACTTCACCTAATAGGAAAAGCCTATTATGAGAACCTATATGGATCCCTGGGTAATTCTCACCAAGGGGGACCATTTAATTCATTTTTTGGTAGACACTGGAGCAACTTAATTGAATTTAAATTCTAAATTACTCAAGTCAGAAAGAGGACTGCACCAGTCATTGAGTTAATGGATAGGCCATCACAGCTTCCTTAAAACCTCTGTAATAGGGCCTCCCCTGGTGGCAGAGGCGATTGAGCGCAGTGCTTTGAAGCTGTCTGCAGCCTCTGCAGCACCAGTTCGATCCCGGCCAGCCAGCAAGGGTCCCACATGGCGTGGCAGACCTCTCCTGTCTCGCCCGCTCTCCCCTCAGCAGTGTATTTCAGTTAGTCCACCTGTTCTGTTCTCCACTCTTTCTCTGGTGAATCACCCTCCCGCGAATCTGGCCTGTACACCGGTTCTTGTGTAAATAAATAAATAAAAATCTTAAAACAAAACAAAACAAAACAACAAACCCTCTGTAATAGCAATAGGGTGAAAAAAAATTCCAAAGTAACTTTCTATGCAGGGAAGAGTGTTCAACTCCCCTCATTGGCCATGACATCTAATATATACTTAATGAACAGGTTGTTTTTTTCACCCCAAGATCAGTGGCTGTACTTATAAGTAACCCTAAAACATGCCTTGCCATTCCATAGGATGATCCACCAAAAGGTGAAGTGTGAATCCGGAAATCTACAAAAGGACAAATGAAGTCGTTTGGGTTACTGGAACCTTTGGGCATGCCAAAATGCAGATGCTATAAGATTAGAAGTGTGAAATAGAAAACAGAACCCAAATTAGCAGAAATATCCTTTGAAAGAGCTGCCTTTGAGAAGAATTCAGCCCTTATCGCAAAAGTTTTTTTTCAATACACCCTCAGTTGGCCCTGACACTCTCCTTACAACAGTCCAATGATGCCAGTAAAGAAAACACTATAAAAATAATACTGTTTAGTTCAGGATTTGAAAGTCATTAATGATTTTGTCCAATATATATGTGCAACTGTGCCAAGTCCTTTTACCCTATTAACTGCCACACTGGGGGATTTGGCTGTATCCAAATACCTTTTACTGCATCTCAGTAAATGTGGGATTGGCTACTCTTTGCTTTTTAATGGCAAGACCCTGAGTCCAAAAACACTGCAATATTGCTGCACTGCACTTCCACAAGGGTTTAAGAATTCCTTGACTATTTGGGGGGAAATACTGACTAGGGATCTTAGAAAGGTCCTACTGAAACAGGGCATCCTATAATATGTGGATATCCACATATCCATGATAGGTGGATGATTTACTAATTGCTGGCCTTGAATATAGCTGGTGAGTGGAGAATATCATATTGTGTTTGTTTGTTTGTTTGCTTGTTTTCTGATGTAACATTGGCTAATATTATTGTTATTTTGGGAGGATAAGATTCCCTCCCACACCTCAGGTATAGTCACTGTCATGCATCTACCACCAAATCACAACAGTCCACCACCATAGTCCACGGCTCTCCCCTGCTATTTGTTCTGACCCCTCCCTAACCCCTTTCCCTCTGGATGGTCCAGTTCTAAACTCAGCTTTCAAAGGTGAGTTTTTAAGCTTGTGTTTAAAGGATCCTTGTACAAGTCCTGATTGGAAAAATTTTCAGTTTTTTTACCATTGAGAATAATGTTAACTGTGGGTTTATTATACATGGCTTTTATCATGTTAAGAGAAATTCTATTTATACCCAATGGTTTTCATCATAAATGGATATCGAATCTTATCAAATGCTTTCTTGGCATCTATTGATATAATCATATATTTTCTTTCTTTTTGTTGATGAGGTGAATTATGTTGATTGCTTTTCAGATTCTGAACCACTCTTGTGTCACTGGCGTGAATTGCACTTGGTCATGGTGTGTGATACTTTTAATACATTGTTGAATTTGGTATGCTGAATTTTGCATTAGGGAAATTGATCTGCAGTTTTATTTTTTACATTTCTTTGTTTTTCCTAATATAGTAATGTTGGTCTCATGAAATATGTGTGGAAGTATTCCTTCTTTTTCATTTTTTTGGAAGAGTTTGAACAGGATAGGTATTAATTCATCTGTGAATGTTTGGTAGAACTCACTTTGTGAATCTTTCTGGTCCTGTTCCTTTGTTTTTGGAGAGTGTTTTGTTTACTGGTTCAATTTCTTTGCTTGTGATTGATTTGTTCAGGAATTCTATTTCTTCCCTTTCAGTCTTGGATGGTTGATGTTCTAAGAATTTGTTCATCTCTTCTAGGATATTGGAATTTTTACTCTATAAATGCCCCATAATATTCTCTAATTATCCTCTGAATTTTTATAGCCTCTGTTGTGGTGTCTCCTCTTTCATTTTTGATCCTAATTTTTTGATATTTCTTCCTATTTTCTTCATGAGTCTTGCCAAAGGATTGGCCATTTTATTTAGTTTTTCAAAGAACCAGCTTTTGGTTTCAGTAATATTTTGGTCTTTTTAAAAAAAATCTCTATTTCATTTACTTCTGCTTTGGTTTTTATTATTTCTGTTCTGTTGTCTTTTGAATTTTTTGTTATTCTTTTTCTAGTTCCTCAAGATATGAGAAATGGTTATTTGAGTTCTTTTTTATTTATTGATATGCACCTGTTTTGCTATATATTTCAGTATTAGTACTGTTTTTGTTACATCCCATGTGTTCTGGAAGATTGTGTCTTCATTGTAATTAGCCTCAAGGTTTTGATTTTGCCTTAAGCCAGTACTCTTTCAGTAATGTGTTGTTTACTGGCTATGTAGTAAACAACTTCCCTGAACATTTTTTTTGTAATTGATTTAATAAGTTTAATTAGTTTAATAAGTTTTCAGGGAAGATACTGGGTGTGATTTCAATCTTTGTGAATTTGTTGATATTTCTTTTGTGGAACAGTATGTGGTCTGTTCCGGAGAATATACACATGTGTACTTGAGAAAAATGTGTAATCCACTTTTTTGTGTTTGGTGCTATGGCCTATAAATGTCTAACCCCATGCAATACAGTTCTTTGGTTAAATCTATTGTATACCTGTTTATTTTCTGTGGAGTTGATCTCTCCATGATGAATGTGGGGTGTTGAAAAAGCACAAATGTGCTTTTTCCAGTGTCTGTTTTCAGAGTCGATAGTAGTTGTCTAATGTATTTTGATGCTCCTTCATGTGATGAGTATACATTGATAGGTCTTATATCTTCTTGATATATTGTTACCTTAATCATTATATAGTGTCCTTCTCTTTCACTTGTTACCTTTTAAAATGGAAATCTATTTCATCTGATACAAGTATCACTCTCCCTATCTTCCTTTGTGTCCTTTTACCCTATTAACTGCCACACTCGGGGATTTGGCTGGATCCAAATACCTTTGACTACATCTAAGTAAATGTGTGGGTTTGGATACTCTTTGCTTTTTAATGGAAGGACCCTGAGTCCAAAAACACTGCAATATTGCTGCACTGCACATTCATTTGATTTTCTGTGTTTTTTCAGTATTCTTACATTTCTTTGAATTTATTTTTTGTGGCAGTTTTAAACTCTGTATCTGATAGAAAAAAACATATCTTCCATGTCTTTAATGCTAGTTCTGGAGATTTGTTTTCGCTGTCTTTTTATTATTCCCCTGAGTATTCATGTGACTATTTGTTGGGTTTTTCCTTCTCCCATTATTTGTTTTGGGCTGCACTGCTGTTAGTGGGGCTTCTGTTAGGTGTAGCTCCTCCCCTTACATCAGTCTGATCTTTATCCAACTGTCATAGGTGCCTGTTGGGGTTTTGTGGGATGTTTGTTTTACTGGCTCATCTCTAGTGTCCCCCCCTCTAGAAGTCTGGGTGTCTCACTGTGTGGAGAATGCAGCTGGTGAGATTTTGCTGACCTTTGAGAGGCCTGACTCAGCTCTGGTACCTCCCCCTTGTGGTGCATAGGATCTCAGAAGGCAAGGGAGGCTCCTGCTGGGGTCTTGTCCCATGTAGATTTTGAATCACTGAGCACAATGTTGATTGTAAGGTGTCATCTTAAAAGACTCAGGTATGCAAATAAAAGTAACATAATTGAGATTTGAGCTTAAGAAATATAAATAAATCCTCATGAGAGAAAATGAGTGATTTCAGTTATTAAAGTCCCTGGCAATTAAGGGCCATTAGGTGGATTTTTGGGAAGGCCCGGGTTTTATAGAATTTGGACCCCCAATGCGGACTAATAATCAACTCCCCATACAACTCCCAGATAACAGAACTCCAAACCATTGTTTCAGACTCCAGAATGTCAACAATCTTTTGATCAAATATAGTGAAAGTTGATTTTAGTATCAGTCGTGTGGCTACTAGACCCCAGGAAGATTTTCTGACTTTAACAGAAATGTTAGACAGTCTCACAAGTGAGGCTTGTGAGTGCTAATCTAATTATTAGGACCAGAAATCCAGCTCATTGCATACCTGTCCAAACATAACCTCTGTGTTTGCAAGCTATAGTTACAACTTGTGACTTTATGTGTGAAGCAGAAAATTTTACCTTAGGTTACCAAATCACTGTGTATATCTCACACCAGTTTTTCACATTGTCAGTACAGAAGAGTGGACTTTGATTGACTGCTGGCTGGGCTCATGGGGAAACATTACAAAGCTCTACTAGGTAATGCTAATGTTCAGTTGTGAGTTGCTAGCTCATTAAATCCAGCTACCTTTCTTCCAAGCAATAGCAAGAGCCGTGAAGATGGAATTGTAACCCATACTGACTAGAAATCACTGAATGAGTGCAAACTGCCTGACCAGATTTTCCTGACCTACCCCTGTTAGATTCAGAGTGAGATTTGTCTATAGATGGGAGCAATATTATGAGTCAAGAATGTTCATTCATAGATTATGCAGTACTGATGCTTCATTACACCATAGAAACTAAGTACCCTCCAAGTAACAATGTCAGCACAGAAGGCTGAATTGATAGCCCTGACCCAAGCCCTGGAACTTTTTCAGGACAAGCATATACACTGACACAAAGTATTTGTTCATGGTCCTACATGAACAAGGGGGCCATATGAAAAGAAAGGGGGCTACTTACAGTCAGCAATAAAGACATTAAGCACCCACTAGAAATCTTGGCCTTGCTGAAAGCAATATTGAAAGAAATATTTTCTGTCAGGTGTAGTGGTAATGCACTGTCCCAGTCACCAAAGGGATATATCTGAAATTGCAGAAGGCAACAGAGTAGTCAACCATGTGGCAAAGGAAGGCTCATAGCCTTATTTATCATCTCAGGGTTTCCAGTGTTCATCCAAAAGTCATTCCTGGGGTATCTTGCAACAGAAGTTGAAAGAGAAAAAAATATTTATGTTTTTGCTTTTTTCTTAAGCAAATATCACAGGTCTTTGACAGTCCACAGGACCAATGGGCTTTAAAACTCTGGGTAATTGCTATCTGGGGCTTTCTTCACTTTGGAATGATGCACACTGTGTATTCTGCATGCAAGTTTCAAAGAAGTGTGCGTGGTTAGCAAAACATCTTAAAGACCAGATTATTCCTTCAACAGTTGAGCTTGGGTATCTCCACTATGCCAGGTCTAGAGTAAGACCTAATAACCAGGTCTGAAAGGCTGCATTGGTTCTTCTGGAGGCAATGGAAAATCTAGAGAAAGCAAAGTTATGAGTTACAGCTTAAATTTCCCAAATACTTTTTATGCACTATTTGACACTATTCTTGTTCAATGGTGCAGTGTTCAAAATTGCAACTAGAAATGATTTTCCAAAGACAATTTCCAAGAGGCTTAAATTTGGGTCCATTTCTAGGATCCACTCTTATCCACAATAGGTTAACAGATGATGCCTAATTGCATTACAGGTGGGTTTCTTGGCATAGTGTAACCAAAGTCTGTTTATAATGGGATTCATTTTTCACTCTGTACTGTAGATTGTGGTCTCCAAGGAGCATGTATCTTCCAAGGAGTGTGTAAGGCATTACTGAATTTCTGAGTGACTTCTGAAACAAATCCAAGTCCATCGTCACTCTGAGTTGAGTTAAGCAATCCCAATTGAGTAGTTATTTCCTTCAGCAATTGTTTCAAAAACTCTATGCTTTTTCCATCTTAATGGGAAACGTTTATACTCAAGAAGACATCCACAAAAACCTAAAGATACTTACAATTTCCAGGGGTTTTTGAATAGTTGAGTAAAATCCTCTTTCCAGATTTCAAAAGAGTACATGCCCAGATATTGATCTCCAGTAGTTACAGGGTGTGAGTGAGTCTTGGGGTTGTTCTTGGCACATAAATGGGAATCTTGAGTGATCTACTAATCCACACTCTGCAAAAAGGCCTTTTTAGATGAGGGCACATTGACTCAAACAAGGCATCTCTCCCATAGTGTATTTCCCATAGTATAGATGTTTCAACAATGGGTAGACTAGGGCTTTTGGGAGGAGTATCATACTATGTCAGTTCATTCTCCAAGTGGATCTGTGGTCAAAGCTAGTAAATCTTCATTCATGGGTCATTTATTTTCCTTATTCCAGTTGATATATTTGGGTCCAAATTAAGAAAAGTCCACAAGAGGAATGAATGCCCCCTGGATAACAGCAGTGAAAAGTATCTAGCTAACATTTGTACTCATAAGGAAGCAAAAGGAGCTCTGTGGTAAATATGAATAAAACTATAGTTGCATAAGATATATTTCATGGGCTAAATTAAAACAAATGGAGCTGTTTCCATTTATTGTATGTCTGTATGTCTTCCTCTTGGTGTATAATTGTTCTTGCCTTTGGAGAATATAAAACAGGTATAGGTTGGATCCATAGATAGAAATTTTTGAGCTCAGAAATATAATGAGAACTGGTACAAGTGTTTTCAGGAATCATGGTCTGGTATAATTTTTGTTTAATGAGAAGTAATTTAAAATTCAAAGTGCTGGTTTGAAACTCACATGTCTATAAAATTGTGGTATTGCTTTAAATTTGGGGATAGGTAAATTATGTTTTTTCAAGGTTCAGAATTTGAATTGTGGGTTCAAAATAATAGGTTGAAGATTGGCAGTCAGCACTATGTTGCTCAGTTTAGCCAGAACTTTGATTATCACTATTAGGTAATTAATGTTTATTCTAATTCTATAACAAAACTCCCCACAAATATAAATTAGGAAAAATTGATAGAGTTTTATTTGATTGTCCAGAAGAAATTTTTATGGAACCTCACTAAAGCTAATACACTTAATAAAATTTCTCTTTTTCTTCATGGGAAAAAGGATGAATTTGAAATATTTGGTATTTTATCTGGTAATTAAACATGTATAGGAAACATTGTTGCTTGGAAAAATGTTTCATATTGGTATACACATGAATAATATCTGCATAAAATTATGTGAAACCTTTTACAAGTCTGATATTTTAATATTTCTTGTCAATTTTGATTGATGTTTTGAACTGTTGCTGATTACAATGTTGAACAAATTTCCTTGTCAATTACATTATTATCAAATTATTAAATTTGGTTACATTAGAGTTTTGACATTTGCAGAAAATTTTTCTGCAGAAATTAATGGGAAAAAGACCTCTACAATATCTTAAAACCATTCTAATTAATATAACTTGAGAGATAGTTTTCTACAAAGGGCTGAATGCAATATAGAAAATGAACATTATTTTAACAAGTTTGACAGCATGGTACTGGAACAAATACAGAGACCCAGACCAATGGAATCAAATTGAAAACCCAGATAGAAATCCACATGTATGTAGTCAACTCATCTCTGACAAAGGAGCAAAGAATACACACTATTACAAAAACAGTCTCACCAACAAATGGTGCTAGGAAAACTGGACTGCTACATGCAAAAGAATGAAACTAGACTACTACCTCACACTATACACAAAAACCAACTCAAAAATGGGAAAAAAAAAAACCTGAATGTAAGACCTGAAACCATGAAATATACAGAAGAAAACATAAGCAAAACACTCCATATTTTCATATATCTCAGAAACATCTTTGAGGACTCATCCCCCAAAAAGAAGAAAATAAAGGAAAAGAAAAACAGCTGGGACTATATCAAACTAAAAAGCTTCTGTACAGCAAAAGAGACACTAACCAAAACAAAGCGGCACTCCACAAAATGGGAGAAAATATTTGCCCTCCATACAACTGATAAGGGACTTATGATAAAGATCTACAAAAAACTTACACAACTCAAAAAAAAACAAAACAATCAGCCCAAGCAAAATATAGACAGAGAGCTTAAAAGACACTTATGCAAAGAGGAAAAGCAAATGGCCATAGGCATATGAGAAAATGCTCAACATCATTTATAATCATGGACATGCAAATCAAAACCACAATGAGATACCACCTCACACCAGTAAGAATGGTCCTGAAAACAATAAGTAATGGCAAGGTTGTGGAGAAAAAGGCACCCTCTTACATTGCTAGTGGGAATGAAAACTGCTCCCGCCACGATGGAAAGCTGTGGGGAGCACCCACAAATTACTAAAAATGGACCTGTCATATAACCCAGCAAATCTACTCCTAAGAATCTACCCAAAGGACACAAAAACTTTAATTCTCCTCAAACTACCAAAAATGGAGCTTCCATATGATCCAGCAATTCCACTCCTAGGTATCTACCTAAAGGACACAAAAACATTAATTCAAAAGGACACCTGCACCCTTATGTTTATTGCAGCGCTGTTTACAGTGGGTAAGCTATGGAAAAACAACTCAAATGTCCTAAAATAGATGACTGGATCAAGAAGATGTGGTGTATATACACAATGGAATATTACTTAACAATCAAAAAAGATAAACTTATGCCGTTTGCAGCAACATGGATGGAGCTGGAAGGGATTATGCCCAGTGAAATAAGCCAGAAAGAAAAAGAAAAATATCGGATGCTTTCACTTATATGAGGGATGTAGAGGAACCAAATAAGGGATCAGGAAGGAAAAAAAGTAATTATAATAAATTAAAAATCAAAACCAACAGGCAACTATAAATCAGAGACATTCTGCAGGGGAGGAGGAGGGAGTAGGAGCAAAATAGGAGCAGAAGGAGCACAAGGGACTATGGTGATGGTGTATGGGTGAAATGGTGGTGGGAATTTCAAGGGGACTACACCTGAGAGGAGAAAGCATACATTGTACAAAAATGAAGAATGATGTAAAATATATATATATTATAATAATAATAAACAAAAGGAAACCATCACTCCTATGTTTATTGCCACACTATTTGCAATAGCTAAGATATGGAAACAACCTAAATGCCCCAAAACAGATGACTGAATCAAGAAGATGTGATGTATATACACAATGGAATGCTATTCAGCAATCATAAAAGATAAACTCATGTCATTTGTAGCAACATGGGTGGAGCTGGAGGGGATTATATTCATTGAAATAAGTCAGAAGGAAAAAGAAAAATATCAGCTGATATCACTTATAGGAAAAATATAGGGAAGCTGAACAAATTGTTGAAAAAGAAAAAGACAAAACATGTAGGCAACTATAGATCTGAGGCTTCAGCAGGGGATTGGGAGGAAAAGGGATCCAAACAGGGGTGGGGCGAGCACAAGGGAACACAGTGATAGTTCACAGGTGTGTTGTATATCTATGGGGACTAGAGCTGAGGGGAGAAATCAAATACTGTACAAAAGTGAACAAGAATGTAAGAAAATTAAAACTTAATAAAAAATTAGTTGTTTCAGATGATACTGCTTTTTTGATTATGCTTTGATTTTTTTATTCAGGAAAACTTTCAGCTAACCAAGATATACCGCAATGTTAAATTGCATTTTTGTTAGCAGGATAAATGTGCATTTGCATTTTTCCTCTCATTGATACTGTCATGGAAAAATTGTAGTAATTCTTATTACTCATGGCAATGTGTTTATCTTTGCATAAGTATAGCAGATTTTTAATAGGGAAATTTATCTGTCACTACTTAGAGAACTGGAGACAAGTTTCAATACTAGATTAGATTGTAATATCTTCTGGGAGTTGAAACCAAGCAGACCATGAACAGAGGCTGCCACTTTGTCTGTAGAGTTCCAGAGACCTCCAAGGAATGTAATAAAAAATGTGAGTGTCTCCACTGGCCAGCCTGGAGACCTTGGAGAGATAAAAGCCCTGGGAACATGCAGAAGAGGAAATCTCAGCTGGGGTTTTGTAAGACTGTGGCCTTGCTCGCAAAGCCCATATTGACCAAATTTTCATAGCTCTATTTCAAATTCCTTATGGGCCTCCCCTGGTGGCGCAGGAGGTTGAGCACAGCGCTGTGAAGCTGTCCACAGTCTCTGCAGCGCCGGTTCGATCCTGGCCAGGTGGCGAGGGCCCCACATGGCATGGCAGACCCCTCCTGTCTCACCCGCTTCTCCCCTCAGCAGTGTATTTCTTCAGCCTGCCTGTTCTGTTCCCCTCTCTACCTCTGGTGAATCTTCTCACCCTCCCTGGCATCTGGCCTGTACCCCAGTTCTTGTATAAATGAATAAATAAATCTTTAAAAAATAAAAATGAAAAACAAAATTTCTTATGGAAAGCCCCAAGAAAACCAAGAAAAAATGTGCTCAGTTATTCTTCCTGTGACCTTATGCAAAAATAAATTGAAATTAGATTTAGTTTACAAAAGAATTTTACTATACTATCTAGTAGAATCAGGAGAAAGGTGGAGAGAAAATAATTTTATTTATTTATTTATTTTTAATATTTTTTATTTATTTGTTTATTTATTTATATTTATACAAGCACTGGGTACAGTCAGAAGCGCGGGAGGGTGAGAGGATTCACCAGAGCCAGAGCAGGGAGCAGAGCAGGCAGAAGGACCGACGTACACTGCTGAGGGGAGCAGCGGCTGGCAGGAGAGGTCTGTGCACCATGCGGGACCCTTCTCTAGTGGCCGGGAGCAGCCGGGGATGGAACCAGCGCTGCAGAGGCTTCGGGCAACTTCGCAACCCAGCGCTCAACCGCTGCGCCACCGGGGAGGCCCCAGGTTGACCTTTAAAACATTGAAGACTGGGTCTCCCCTGGTGGCGCAAGCAGTTGAGTGCCGTGCTGTGAAGCTGCCCCCAGGCTCTGCAGCGCCGGTTCGATTCCGGCCAGCCGGCGAGGGTCCCACATGGTGCAACAGACCTCTCCTGTCTCACCTGATGCTCCCCTCAGCAGTGCATTTTGTCAGTCTGCCTGTTCTGTTCCCTGCTCTGTCTCTGGTGAATCCTCTCACCCTCCCGCGACTCTGGCCTGTACCCCGGTTCCTGTATATATAAATAAATAAACCTTAAAAAATAAATAAATAAAAATAAATAAAACATTGAAGACAGGCAGACTTCACTCTCTTGTTTATTTCAGTTTCAACTAACACCCTGACACTGGTACAGTAGGAACCCAAGTAGCCTCTAATCACGTGCTGGCCATCTAATCTCTCTATGTTCTCCCTCCCTTTGTACTTAAACTATTTTTATATCTCTCTGCATATCTGCTTTTGGTTCTTATCATGAGTTCTTAAGCATGTGCATGCTGGAATGCTCAAAAACTGAGACACCCCATGTTTATGTGATTTCCTGCT